AAAGAAACGAATTTGAAAGATTCGATTTCTATTTACTGAACTTTTATTTTGCTTAAGATATCAGGAATCTTAGTTCTGGAGGTACCAAATAGATTAAAATGGTTAATATCACATTTCTTTAGAATTACTAAAGTCATCAACATATGTTCACAGAAAATAATTGAATAAATTCATTTCTTGTTTCATATCTTCCATAAATTGTATTATTATTATCCTTTTATTCATTTATATGCTATTGCAAAGAATACGACATTAATTCTCATGTAATGTACTCTTGTGTATTTATTGAAGATTAAAATGAATCACTTTTATTATGTAGTATTTTTCTGTTTCTTATACATCTATTATCTCTTCTTATTCCTAACTCTATATTTATAACTGATATACTCCATTATTCCAATATTAAAATCAAGTACTGTTTCTTTTAATCGATCTTCAACTCAGGGAGTCTAAAATTTGAAAAAATGCTCCTCAATAAACAGTTCGAAAAAAGAAAATTTCATGAGATTCAGAGCCTATGGAAATATTCAAAATATTCAAATATTCACTCTGTAAACACACTATCGGTCAATGATGAACAAATTCTCACGGTACGTAAAAAAAAAGTGCGCGAAAGACAGGAAAATTCAATTTACCGTTATACAGGGTATGTTCAGTGAGTGTCGTAAAAAATGAGGCGCCTGGTATTTGAGTGAATCATACCCAATAGCGCGAGCATGTGAAACCGAGGATGCACGATCCCGAAAATATTTCAACGAGAGCCTCGCGGCGTTGTAATATCCTTCCGCGCGTGACATGTACGAGGCCGGTTGAAATAACGAATTTTCGAAAAACGATGACGTTGTCGTCCGCGGGCTAACGAGATTCACGCGGCCAACGTCTCTCGTCGTGTCGGCGGATTCGCCATTAAAAAACTATTTATTATTAGTTACCGATCCGGCCCCGTAGCGGGAAAAACATGCGGTCCTCCGTGTTGCGGCAAACGAAGCCACTTTGTCTCTCGGATATAATCGATACGTCTGTCGTATGGACGGACAGAAGAGTCGAAAAAGCTGGATTAAACGGCCAGTCGTGATGCCCGTGACAATTCATCGGGGCGAAAATGTTTTTCTGGTATGCATGTCGGTGCTGATTGTCAGTTGGCGATGGAATTGCTAGGTCGATCATAACGATACCATCAGTTCGGATTTAAGGGGCTGCATGTAGGTAGCTAGGCAACAGAAGTGGATTTTTTAAAAATATCTTTGTTGTGGATGAGAAAGAAGGCGAGGCAGCTTAGTGATTTTTTACGTTGCAGAAATTTAGCATGTACACGAGGTAAAGTGTTTGTTAATTTTTACAAAACTGTTGATTCAGTTGTTTATTAACGCTATAGAACTGTATTGCCATAACGTTACGCAGTCCTCGAAAGGTTAAACCATCTTAATCTCCTGGTCTGGAAATTAATTCAAAGATTTCGCAGTCTTGCGCGAAGAAATTTATTTTTATCTAGTTTACGCAGATATGTATACTAATTTGGTTTATTAACCGCATAAAGCACAGCTCCGTGACACATGGGCACGACGAATTGATAAAGGACAATATCGAACCTCATTACTTTATCTAAATTCGACACTAGATTTTGCATTTTCTGTATAGAAAAAGAGTTTTCGTCGCGAGTAATTAAATAGTAACAGCTTTATATTGATAATCAAATGGAAACATGAGTAATGGTTGACTTGAAGTTCATATATATCGTAATGCTCATAAAGCATTAAAGTTTCGCATTTGGCTAGAAATTTTCATCTTCATTTTATTTATTGAAGGTGTTCTTTATAATATGTATATTCGAATTTCATTTGGATAATAGAGGTTAGTATTAGTGCAGAGGAATCTACTTCCCACTCCGAGAAAACTAGCCTCAATAATACCAATCTTTATTATTTAAATGAAGGCCGAGTAAACATATTATAAGAAACACAACTTTGATCAATGAAAATGAAGACGATGAAACCTTACAACTTTTGAATCGATACTCACTGTCGAAATGTTTAAAATCCTGAATATACACAATAATGACTTTAACAATATATGTCGAGATTAAGGTCATACAAGGATTACTCTTTTTGTAAATAAGTACGTAAGCTCCCCATTTCCGGACATATTTTTACGAATATCTGGAAATCTAAGGTCGAGCGGCGGTAACATATATAGGAAAAAGTTGTTCCAAATAATGACCTTGACAACATATTTTAAGATTATCTAAATCAATGATGAATTAGTATTATAAATAATTACCATTAAATTTTACTTGCGTTAAATATAGAATTGCAACCGTTACAAATATGTGACGTTGATAGCTAATGTTAACAATGATAAAGTGTACGTAAGTTGAGAATTCTGTGTACTATGTAATTTGGTTTTCGTTAGTGAAGAATTTGAATACTTTACAAAGTTCTTAGCCGTAAAAGGGTTAACTTCACATGCTTTAGGTCACAATAATCGAATCTTATATGTATTTTATCCTATACTTTACACACTGAAGAGAATTCGACAGAAAAACCGCACGGTCACTTGTGAAAGCCTAAAACCCTGTCGAACTGCCTCGTGGAGTTACAGAACATCTGTTTGCGAAGGATGCTCGTACTACACACAACAATCTTCACGGTATGCGGGCTTGCTCTTCGTTTCGTTTGTCCAGTGGCTAACGAACTATGAATTCCCCAGACCAAAAAAAACGAGAGAAGCAGGATAGAATCACGGCGACGCGGTTAATTTTGTTTTTTGGCGAAAAATGCGGGTGTACCTCGATGAATTATTCACAGTCCGCTATTTGTCCGGTTGATCCTCTTGGAATACAGACGTATTGTCGTCCAGATGCTTCTAAGAGTGTTTGACTGTGGGAAAAGCTTCGAAGTTCTTTTAAATTTTGTTTTATTAACTGCTTAATGCGCAGTTCCGTGACATACACAGGCTCGAAGGATTTACGAAGAGCCGTATTGAACTTTACTATTTCATTCACAAATGTAAGTTTATAATTTATTTCTTCCATATAAACATAAAAATCTTGTTAGGAAAAATTGAACGATAACAATTTTATATTGATCATCACATGGAAACATCAGTAATGGTTGACAGTAATATAATGTTGCACACCGAAAAAATTTCTGCAAGGAATTAAGTAAACTTTTCGGACTAATCATTGCAACTGTACTGTTATCGTTATTCATGGCAAGGCTGTTTTTCCATTACAACTTTTCCGGCGTGATACTCCCAGTAAGAGCATATGTACAACCATCATTTTTTAGTCAGAGAAATATGGCAGTGCTTATTTTATTTTACATATCAGGAGTGTCGAACTGTCACCCCTTCAGCGTGTGGCTCTCGATCAGCAGTTCCCCTACTAGCCCCATTCTAGGAGTTGTCCGAAATTGTGTGCAGGGGTTGAAAATAGTTATCGATTCCGATTCTTGAAATAGTTATGGAGAACTAAAACAGAGTCAGAAGTGTTATAAGGTATATCGGTTCTGAACTATATTAGTTTCGGTTCCCGTTCTTCGAAACCTATACTATATGGATTCTGTATCGGTTCTATAATTGCTACTTTTCAGGTTTTGAAAAAAATGCAGAATTGAAATACAGAACTGAGGAATAATAATTATAGAACTTATATAGAATCAATATAATATTGGTTCCGAAAACACATAGACTCTGGAGGGAGAGTTTATCTTCAGGAATTCGGAGAATTTTGAGAATCATTCTGACATAAGCAACCTAAGCCCAGGAGTCTAAAATTACCAATCAAGTGACAGTTTTACAGAGGACAGTGTACAGCAGGTTCATCAAAGTAACAGAAGCATAGTGCAAAGACTTCTGAGCATCAACAGAATTGTCATCTTTTCCTACATCAGTGGGTGGTCCTTCGGGTTTTATAGACGGCACATCATGCAATATTTAAAGATTACTCGAAGAAACTAACTCGACTCGAGTGATCTTAACAACACTTGTGTTAGTGTTCGCGCAAAGGGGCTTTAACCGTTTGAGTACTAGAGTTTTTTAAAAAAACCGAACAGTGCAATAGCGCTTTCTGAATGGGGCGCGAAAAGATCCAAACGGTGCGATAGCGCTCCTTTTATTTCATGTTGAGAGAAACCAAGCACCGCGACAATGCTTGTCTTAATCTACGTTAATACTATTATGTATATATATTAATTTATAATAGGTAACAACAAAATACAAAATGTATTACTTGGATTACTTATATGCCAAAAAGAGTAGCGACGCGACGTACATGCGTCTGAAAAATTGAGCACGTTTCGTCAGATTGTGAGTGCGCCGTCAGTTGTCCATATCGTTCAAATACGCTGGCTTTTTTCGACATGAAATCTGAAGAGCGCGAAAGCGGCGCGTGGGACTCAAATGGTTAAGACAGGTGATCACTACTCTACGTACTTACAAAGTAATGGACGAAACAACAACCCGGCGGGCAGAATCGTACCTGGACAATTCCTGTGCTGCTCGTATGAACAAGTGGCTGAATACGACTGTTTTAAAGACTGCGATACAAGTTGCAACACGCGACGATGTAGGCGTCGCTATGAGCGATGGATTTGAGCCTTTTTCACTTTTTGTTTGAGTGTAACATACTGTGCGTTCAGAAAATCCTGAGACACAGGAGCAACAGGGGTCTCTCGTTACGTGTATTGTTCATGGCTTTGATTGTTTATGTGTAATCGTATTGATGAATAGCAAAATAGTATCGAAATGAGATGAAAGAAGATGAAAGCTGACCAATTATACTCGCGTTTCTTTTATGGCTCATGTCCTGAACAACGTATAGTATGTGGAAGTGATCGTAGCCAGCTGTACGAATGTATTTTATTATTTTATTTATTATAATATATATTTTATTTCGTTATAATATAGAATATTACAAATTATACAATAATGTCTATGTCGCACGCCTGACTCTAGGTTCAACCTCTTTCTCGTTGTATCATGTGACAATTGCATGGTGTTATTATAGTCGCTCGGTGGCGGTGAGAGGAAAAAGGGGGAGACTGTTCTTCGCTGCAGTGGGTTAGTAGATTTGTTAGAGATTCAAAACCGCGGACAGCAGCGATTACCAGACAATTCTCTAATTTCTTCAATGCAACACGAGGAGTCATAGCCTATCTAAAGTCCTTTAAATTTCTATGCACTCTTGAATCGACAGAGACTGTTTCATTGTTTATGCTCGCGACTTTATCATTATTACTTCCAGGAGAATAGCTTATGGCTTCTCGTAAAGTCAGCAAACACGTGTCGGAAAGTTTCGAACGCAACGATAAGACCTTTTCACTTGCGGGCCACTTTTTGCCAGGGGCATGGTCACTTGCTCATCCAAATAAGAGGCTTACGCGTCAAAGTAATGTATTTACGTGCGTACCCCATTTGGCCAATGAAAAATCCGTTTAGTTTAACCGCCAGTAGGAAAATTACTCAGTTCCAAGATTGCCGGTAGTCGCTGAAGACGTCTCCACCTTTCTTTTTTTCAACGACAAGAGTTTTCTAGGAATAGGCAGTTAGTCAGCAGCGAGACTCCATGTGCTCAGGCCTACTTCGACTTTAGATTTATAGATTCATTGGACACAATTCTAGCAACTAAAGTCGCCACATAAGCAAACTCCAAGAATTCAGGTGTCTATACAGTCCACTGTAATTTTAGTAAATAATCAGTTATTTGGAGTTTACAAGGTTCGTTAACCTAAGGTGTTTTCCGCGATGCGTTCATTGCTTTCGGCAATCAGCTGACTATGTCATGGAAATGACGCGGTCACCGTCTTCGTTGTTGTCGTCTGTCTACGTCATTATTTCTGCTGCTACAAGTGTATTACGGAACCTTGAAAGAATCCAACTTGTCACTTGTAACGATCCAACGCCGCAAATGTCAACGTGTGTGAGAGCTTTAAGAATTTCTAGAAAAATAATAATATTAAAAATATTAAGAATTTCTAGTAAAGGAAAAATGGACACTCGTCTCGGCAGGGATCCGACAAAACGGAAGAGAGCGGTGAACGTGCAAAACCAATGACGCGCGAATGATACGTCAACAAGCATCTGGCCGTTAATGAGAACGCAAGCGGACACGCGCTCCTCGCGCGCAAACATCACGTACACCGAAGGCGCGCGCTTCCTCGTGGACGCGTCCGCCATCGAGGACACGCTGGTTTACCATGAACGCAATCTGACGACCCGCATTAATCGTTGTCGTCAATCAGAGGAGGCAGGAGGCGACCGATGGAATGCGATTAATCTCGATCAGTCCGTATACCGTGAACGAACGGAAGCGACGATCCGGGGAAACGTAGAATCGAGTCGCTTACGAGAACAGTCTCGGTCCGTGGATCGCCCGTAAAGCGTAGAAATGGCGCCCGATGGTCGGGGAAGTTCAAATGAGGAACGTCTCATGGAAGGAGACTGCTGTTCTACTAATTGCATACTGGGAACAGTATATTATTTCTCGGTATTGGTAACAGAATTGTCTACAGTTCAATGGGATGGTAGTGAAATGAAATTGTCTTGGTTTCGTAGTCGTAGTAGTATTTGGAGCATGATACTTATCGCTGTATGAGTTTCGATATGTTGGTCCGATGTGAGAACGTAGTATTATTTAAAGGATTAAGTATAGTTGCAATGGTAACTACAGAGAAATGGAAGGAGATGCTTGTATTTCTTAAGCAAATATAGATGCAGGAATGTGGAATGTGGATAATAACTGAGTTATATGTGTATCTGTAAGTGAAACATTCAGTAAATTATACTTATGTATAATGAAATGCAAGATCAAAAATGTCGAAACATTCTTGTTAACCTGCTAACTGTGGAATTTAATTTGAAAAATCTCTAACAATGCTCGCAATGAAATCAAATAATGTTGTGTATACTCATTAAACGGAGGCCACATGCGCCTATAATATATTATAACGAAAAGATAAAGCAAAACGAAGAAGAATTACATGCTTATCTACGAAAATAAATAATTGATCGTTAAAGGAATTAGTATCATTTTGATTTTAAGATGACGTATGTACTCGTCGAACACAGTTAACTGGTTAATAAGGAAAAACGTCTTGTGCCAAGTTTCAATTACCTATTTTCATAAAAATGTAGATTTAAGAAAAAATTAAATTAGCGGAATTCATTGCATTTTTCACTGACAGTACCGGGAACCAATCAAATGACCGAATGTAAAATTCTGCGTCTTCTTTCGTTTATTTAACGTTATATCAATTCCAATATTGTCCGATTAATCAATATTCAATTTTCATCTTTTCTTTTGTTTCCGTTTTCACTAAAAATAATTTATCATCTAATTTGTCTACTTTTATTTTGTAACCAATTATTTAACTGGTTGCGGTAGAAAAAGTGTCGGTACGGTTAGTGATAAAAGTCAGGCAAATTTCAACTACCACACACGCACGGGACATTTTCAATTTCTCTATTTAAACAATCTTAAAATATTTTTTCTATAATAGGCTGCCATGGCGTAGTTAAACAGATAAAATATTGAGCACATATCCTTCATGCGACAATCTAAATTATATTAAAAAATTCTCAATAATTTGTTCATGTTATTCAAAACTAGATCCACCGACCAATTAGAATGAATCATTTATAATTTCTAATAAAAATTGAAAAAGTGCATTTTTTAAGATTTCAAGCGCGTCGTATTGTTGCACTCATATAAGTTTACAGTGAGGCATCGAGTTACGTCCTCTCAATTTACGTCGGTTCACAGTTATGTCATCTCTACGTAACGCGGTGTTCAATTGTTTTTAACCAATATTTTTCGATTTACGTGGTTAGTATTAACTGAATTAGTCTGAAACTTACTTGAATAAAGGATTCATCACGCAACAAATTAATTTTCTAACGTTTTTATGAATAAATAGTTTCAGACTATATAGTTTATATACAGTTTAGGGACTTATAGAAATATATTTTCAATAAAGATGGGTACCCAAGTGCAATTAATCAAGAATTAAGACCATTAGTTACGTATATCTAATGGCAATATTGTTAAACAGAGAAATACTATACGTTTAGGAACGAAATTAGAAACAATAAAACGTTTTAGTGGAATGCAAGGCTTTATACTAGACCTCGGCTTAGCTGGTTGTTGGGGTACTCAAGTCGACAGCGCGTCAAGAGCCGTTGTCGTAGGTAGTTTTGGGGAATACGTCGACTGCTCCACTACCAGCATTTTTTTAAATATATAAGCTCTTCAGCCCTTTGCGCTATAGATTCTTGTCCACCACTCAGGATGAAACACTGCGGGACGAAATAATACAAATTCCATGAAACATGTAGCTAGATAAAAAATACAATTCTAAGTCCGTATGTACGTAACAATGGCAATAAAAAAAGGTCATTCAGTACGTTCCAGTATTATTCGTGAATACCGTGATCTCTTCGGTTCTTCGTAAACATTTGTTAAATGTAATGTGTTATTATTACTTTACTATCATTTTTATAGATTTACAATGAAATGTATCCCCTAATAAATACGTCTACAGATATGTATGTTCGCATACATGCGCATGTTTACCTTATGTACCTCGATTTACGTTCTTTTCGGTTTACATTGCTCACTCCAGAGCCAATTAGAAGGTAAATCCAGGGCCCACTATACTAGTTTAATTTTCGATTCCTCGTACAAACATCTTCAAATTTTGAATAATTGTAAAATAAAGGAAAATGACCATTTACAGTTTTACATAAGAACTACGCTACTGTCGGCGATCTCGCTTTCTGACTTACCGCTAACGCTTTTCTATCGCAAACGGTCGCACCGGATCACGGGGCGGATCGAGAAAGTTTCGAGACTGGGAATTGACTTGGCCGGTTTTTACAGTGTAACCCCGTTCTTAAACTCGGTTCATTTATATCGCCGCTGGAGCGAGTAACGGATGGGTGCCAAAGGGCCTGGAACACTCCGCGCGTGAAACCGCCGACGAAATGGAACGTTTTATTAGGAACGTGTCTAGCACTTGACGCGGCACCGAGTCTAGACGGATCGTCGAATTTCCCGACGGTTTGTACCGGATGAAAAGCTGATTAAGATCGATTCGGCAAAATTATCCCTGTAATCCGTTCTCGGCGCGGATTAAAGGGATCGTAACCAAATAGGATTCCGTGCTGGAACGAAAGCGATTCAGGGTTTCCCCGTCCCCCGCTCTCAAGTGTCCTCGGAGCGGATAACCATCGAAATTCTCTCGCGAAAGCACGATCAGGGATCCATTTGTCATATTCCCGGGAGCTCGTGAGAAAATGAGACGCCGGTGGGTGCATATAAAAAGGGATTAATTCCGCAGCGTGCTTGCCGCCGTGAATTCTCAAGCGACTGAAAAAGAAGAATTCCACAAAGGGCACGCTTTGGAGATCGCCTAATGAGGGAACGTGTTCAAAAATCCTCGCCTACGACTCATTGTAAAATCAAATTACGCGGGCCGCCGTAAGAAGATGTCGCCGGTCGGAGGATGAATATTGGCCGGCCCAGCCCCCAGGGACGTTAATTAAGCCGACCATTAAAATTAAACCACAGCGTCGCGACCCAGAAAATTTTAAGGACCAACAATTCGGCGAACGACGCCTCGGAATCTTATTGTTGTGGAGCTGGTCCATATTAGTTCCTTGCGTTTCCAGAGAAACGGTTTTTATCGTAATTAGATGAACCATCAAGTGACTGCTTCCATACATACATATTAACCCATTACGATTAACCCTTTGGCTACAATGGACGAGATATCTCATGTATCTTTATTATTGATATAAAGTGTTTTATTTGAAAGACGATACTTTTTTGCAAACTATACATTCGATTATTGGATGAAATTTTCTTCTTCGGGTTGTATTTTCGTATATTACATCTTCTACATCAGTTACAGTTATCCCGCCTGCAATACTCGAATTATTGGCACTCTAATATAGAAGTAACATTGATAAGCAATCTATTTAATGCAGTAGAAATATTTTGCAATCCTCCTATGGTGTTTACAGTTCTTATCATTCACCAGACTCTAATTGTGTAAAAATAAAAACTTTAATTGTGTAAAATATGGAGTATTTTATTTTTATCGTATTTAAACATTTTCCACCGACGATGAGATGTCTTAAAAATCGATTACTTGTATCAGATTTTCAAATAAAACACTTTATATCAATATAAAGATATATCTCGAGACGAAGATATATCATACACGAGGTATCTCGTCCAGTGTAGCCAAAGGGTTAATTTCGTTCGTATAGCTACACATTTTGTAAATTTTTATCGAGACCATTGGTAATACATATTTTTCGTTTACCGTATATAATAAGCACATTCACCGTTAAATTAAAGAATTTATGTTCCCAGTTATTTCTTAATAAATGAAAACCAATCTATATAATTGATTCGATATTCTTCAATAATATTTTATTCGATGTTATTTAAAGTTTCGCTACTATTAACTTAGTGATTTTAATTATGAAAATCATTAAATATTTTCAGTATAACGCATGAAGGATATTCACAGTCTAAAATGATCAGGATATAGCACATAGGAAGATGAACACTTAAAAAAATTATATGCCTCTCTAAATGTAATAAATCCTTTTTTCTGTTTTTCAGTATTATAATGTAGGGTGTCGATAGCTTGCAACAACATGTCATCGATCATATGGTTGGAGCTATCTCCAAAAAACTATGAACAGTAAAAGATCGATGAACTCTGAAAGCCATGGTCACTAATGGAAAACAATTGTGAACGTGATTGAGCGAATGTGAAGTATACCTGCGAAAGAACAAAGAGAGTATATGGGGAAAAAGAAGAAGAGAAAAAGAGAGTGACTAAAGGTTTGTGTGTATAAGAAATTTGAACGTGTGCACTTTTTGTTTTCTTTTGCGAGCAAGTAAGTTAGCGCCTGGATTTTGCGTTTTACAGTTATAATTTCGTCCGTTTATACTAATTATAGCATTCTTATTTCATAATTCATACATTCATTTGATCTACGGATTCCATTCTAACATAATTTTAACGGAAACATTAATTTATTATTATGTGTTATATATATTTATGCCATACCGTTCTATGTTCTGATTTTCACGATAGATTTGAATGAAACGTATTACCTTAGCGACATTTGAAGCTCGACTAATCTAATTTTACTCAGGTCGGAAGTTAGACCCGCGCGCAACACACAAAACGTAATAGGGAATAAAAAAGCTTCGTAGACTAATGAGAGAGCCAACGTTTTACTGTCATTTGCATTTCAAATCAAATCAGGAAAACGAACCTGACAGGAATTCTGGTTTGCCCAGACTGCGGTTGAGTGCAGAGCTATACATTCTTACCTGGCATTTTAACTATCTTTACGTGAAAAGGAAGGAAACGTAAGCGGATGCTTTGGTTTGAGTAGTATGAAACATCAGCAAAGGAAAAGCAACTGTACAAGTAGGATGTTGTAGTATTTCACAAAAACAATATACTTCTCCACAAATTATAATAATTTAAAAGTAATGCAGAAACAATTAGAACATCGTAGTCAAGTACCAAAAAATTATCATAGACGTATATCTTTATATGTATAATTTATTACATTTTTCCTTAAGTTTAGGGGGCAACATAAATTTACTTTTGCAATTTCTAATCACTTGTTTCTATTTCTTTCATTAATGAATATTTTATGTCTGATTGTTCTACCACACATAGTGGTAGAGTATACTTTTATCTAAATAGTATTTATATATACATAAAATCATTTCAAAATAAATAAATAAATACTTTTTCGATACACTGTATGCACACTCTAGTATCATTATATTTAACAAAAAAAAATGCTATGAATTCTCCTTTTCTAATACTATTCTTTGAAAGTATTTGCTATTTTACGATTTTATGAATCATTTACGTATTAGACACATAATTTGATTTTATAGTACACAATTTAAAATAATTCTACAGTATTAATAATTACATTTATATATTATATTAAATTTAATTCTACAATTAATTTATTGTTTCAAAAAATTTGTACGTGTTGGTAACACGTAAAAACGTTGTTTGAAAAGTTTGAACCAAGCGGTATTAAAACTATGTTGGGGTCCGTGCGAGTGGACCCCGGTTTCCCGGAGTCGCAATCATCCACGTACGTACCCTGATTAATTACAACTTATTAAAAATTTTATTCCGCTTCACGGATATACTTTTACCGGACATGCTCGGTATAGAATTTTATGAATTGTAATTAATTTGCTTTACAGTGCAAGTGACGTTGGACTTACGAATATTTCTCGACAAACAAATCTGACGTTCGCAGTGCGTCGCACATAAACGGGAGACATCATGTCTGCGTGGTGCAGGTGCATTCACGCCACGGTGTATTGTAGCAGAGTAGCATCGCGTATTAACGAAATTTAGGACAGCGTTTAGCGGGAAATTATTGCGCTTGTCTGGTCACGACCCGAAAATTCCGTTTTATATTGTCCCTAAATGGGGGGACATCGCGTGAAATATAAATGTACTTGAAACCTGAACACCATAGCTAATTCTGTTTGCGCTTGATAAAACTACACAGACTAACTTCCATCAAATGGGAAACTAGCATTATGCGAATTTAAATGTTATTAAGACTAGATTTACGGAACGTGTCACTTTAACGCGTATTGACTTTTATAAATATTATTTTATAAATGTTTACGCCTATTTCTATCGATGCACTTGCACGAATATGTACACCAATTATCTATTATCAAAGCCCCAATCTCAAAAATGTAAATAAACGGAAATCAATTTTTCTGGGAGCAATAGAATAAACTGTACTATGAATGCCAGTAAACCTAGTGTTAATCTAATATGAAATGCAGTTCGAATTTTATCAATAAGTTTGTATGTCACGTAATGATTAACGCCTTGTATTGTATAATATACTAGATTGTTATACTATATTTATTAAATATTATTATTTTTGACAATACTTAACAATTTTATTTTTATATATATTTTTTTATATCGATTTATGTATGTAAAACATATTTTTTTCATTTAAATCCTCTTCTTTAGAATATATTCAAGAATTTAAAAGCATAACTGTCCCAGTTGAATAATCTTGTACGCGACCTACATTAGCAGCAGCCTATTTCATTCGATTAAAATTATACGTTCATCCCCCAAGCGGATTTATACATTATATAATCCTCTTTAAGTAAATTGTTCATTGAATTCTTATGACATTATCGGACAAATTCAACTAGAAGATCCATTTTGTAATTATCAATTAATTATTTCATCTTCCGTGCATCTAATTCTTGGGGCATCGAAAATTCATTGAAATTATTATTAACGGAAATTATAAATAATAATTCCCAATTACAAAAATCATTAGTAACGTGAATGTAGAAAATTACACCGGGAAAGTTAATTTTAGCCAGCATAGTGAATTTTATGATGGCTGCACAGAAGAAACGTCGTACTTTTTTGAAAAGCGACCAGCGTTCAAGAGATATCTGCTAATGTGACTGTTAAATGACCGGATAGCCGTTGACGGTGTCAAAAAATACATCGTTTTTGGTCATTTTTCTTCGAGCTGTGCTCGCACGTTAACTCTGGACACTGTGGAAAAGATAAATAAAGGGAGCGATGATAGAATTAAGGAAAAAGCGGGCTTTAACGCCGCTTTCAACTGGAAACCGCACTTTTCGACGGTGACGCTGCCAGTTTCATCGCGAACATTCGTTTGTTTAAGCTACATTTAGTTTATTTTCATGGGGGGTGAACGGTAACGACCCCTTAAATCGTTGATGAGTTACGCGGAGCGTAAGTGAGTGGATAAATTTTCGTTAATGTTTCCTGTTATTTGGCTGGACGAGATTTATACGCGGCTGGGAATTCGTGACGATTTTGCGCGATTTAATTCGCGGTGTAACGTCGCCCGGGACGTCGCTTTAAAACGAGTTTAAAGTTTCATTGCGCCCGACAAGGAACGCGGAGCAATTTCCCAGATGTAAATCGTGCAATGGTGTATTACAAATCAAATGGCACTGAAACGTTGTTCCATTAATTATTTGATGTTCATCTTTACACTCCTTCTTATTAAAATTCCATGCAGAGTTACAGATATTATAGTAACATGTTTTATATTTGTAATTAAGTCATGAATTTTATGCGTTTATTATAAATATATCTAATTGTCTAAGGTTAGTGTAATAGGATGTATTGGTATAGATTAATGAGGATTTTGTTTATTCGGATTCTGATAAAGTTCTCTACAACTAAATCTTTATACTTCATGTTAATTTCTGTAAATTAATTCATAAACATGTATATTTTCATATATGATTGTATAGGGTGTGGTGAAAATATAATATCATACGAAACATGCATACGACGCATATATTAGCATTTGGAAATTGAAGGCACGACTTGTATCACACGCTCTTTAAATGTCAGTTAGGTACGCGCTTTATCAGGTATTATGTAGGTACTTACCTACACATATTTTAATTTTTCTACATATAACGTGTATATAATGTGTATTTAACGTATCTGTCTTTTTATTAATATTAGGCATTTATAGTACATTTTTCATAACAATGTTTAAAACTTATTAATGAATTAATTATTCAGTAATGTATTAATTGGTCAAGTTTTGCATTTGATACTTTATTTACCGAATGTCTATTAATAGGTTTCTCAATGACTGTACTACATCAAAAAGAAGTTTCGTTATGTTCATATCCATAATAATCTTAAGAAAAATCATTGTATTATTTCAAACAAGATGATTCATTGAAAACTTTCTTAAAAAATCCTCAGCTACTGATCACTGATCTTTAAAAGATCACTAAATATTCGCCGATGGATAAAATGTTAACCCCTTGACCTACAATATCTTGTTAGACTCGTGGTGAAAATTCTAAATTGAATTTGATAAATCTAAGTGTTATTTATTTTCTTTAAATATAAATTAAATATTACTTTTCTATTATCAGTCGTTAATCTTTGGAGCAGACATAGACACAGAACAAGCATCAAAGTTTTTTCCTTTCCTAATAAATTATTAATAATAAAGTAACAATATCAATCATAGTTAAGACATAAATCATAGGACAAAGGCTTAATAATAAATGTTCGATTACAGGGCAAAACAGGTTCCATTATAGGGGGCAGTGATCGCAGCCAGACACATCCTCGTTCCCACGCCGCGTTTCTAGAACCCCGGCACGACAGCGATAGCTCGCGCGTAGTTGGCAAGCAAACAGATTCTTAAAGAACGCTTATTGTAGCGGCGATTCATAGAGGTCGGTTACGCGGGGACAGTGAAAACCGGGCGGTTATAAATCATAATAAATCGCACATTATGTAGGTTAACGCTGCAGTGGAAGAATTATCCGGTGAATTTACGACGAGTTTGTCGCCAAAACCGGTAGCGCGCAAAGAAGGGGGCGGCAGCCAGACAGAGGGGACGGATCTAGCGACGATAATGGCCTCCCCCAGCAAGGACACGGCTCGTCCGACCGACCGAAGAAGTTAATTTAGGAAAGAGGATTTCGTCGCGGACAAAACGTTTGTAATCCTTAACAAAGGGTGCTCGAAGTTCTTGAACAGACCGCGAGACACTTGGGCTCGCAAAGGGAAGCGGTTGCTTGGAATTTGATATTAACTTTTAATTCCTTTCCCCTTCCTTTTTCTTTTCGAACCGTTCGTCCTTATTATACACGGATTCAACGTAATTCCTTTTTTACGTGTCGCCGGTGAAATTAAAAGTTGTCGAGGAGTAACATAAATTCAATGTCACGTAAAATATTGTAGGTCTCTTATACACAGATTGGTTTGAAATTGCTCGGATAAAGTTTATTATCGTTCTGTGGAATCTATTATTATTATGTAGGAATGTCAAGTAATTGAAAGGTTTGATGTGGTATCTACTATTTACTAATAATAACAAAAATTCAAATATTATTTTTACAATGCTCGCTACAGCGTCTATTTTTCTACCGTTTTTTATCATATATTCACGATATTCTGCAATATTCACGGAGTCGCGTCACGTTTTGTTCTTTGATTCTTTTCAAAGTTCGTTGCTCCGCATTGACGCTGTCAGACGATATAAGTGGGCCAGGCCATTGATAACTTACAATTATGTGTTTAAGGTCACATGCATCTCTTAAGGAGGGAAATACCTTTAGACGGATGAAAACGAGCTGATCTATATGAATTTTTTTGTAAAGGAAAGGATTGTTTTACATTTTTGAAACTTTGGTTATCATTTATTATATTCTTTCTCTATTACAACGTATTTTTTGTTTTTCAAAATATTTAAAAATGGCGGAGTTATGTCCCTGTTTTTCGGGAAGGTTGTGGTGCGACTTATTAAATGGTGTAAGCTCTAGCATTGGCTACATTGATTTGAAACAAACATATTTAGACATATTTCGATAACTAACACTTACAGTTTGTAGATGAACCGAAAAAAAGTGAAAAATATTGAAAATTGAAAAAATGGCACGCTTTTAAACAGAAACTTTAAATTTTATATGAAATTTTCGCTATATTTTGCGATAAAAAGGTACTTTTATTTACAATTTATTTCACATCTCTAGGTTCATATAGAAGACAATATTGTTATAGATATGTGTGCAAAATTTCAGCAAGATCGATTGAGTAGTTTTTGAGTTATTGATTCCACCGATTTCGAAAATGTAGTGTTGAGATAAACACGTTCAAAGTTTCGATAAGTGATAACTCAATAATTTCAATGACTTATCAGCTAGTCTGCGATTCCTGCGCCATACACTATTCCTTCTGTTTCCTCATAGAGCTGATTTTCCTCCATACGTTGCTCTCTTCTTGCTTTTCGAGCCTCTTTGGTAGTTAATGAGGCGCGTCGCTCCTGTCGAATTACTCTCTGTTCGTCGATTTTGTCGGCGTATGTTTTTGCTTGTTTTCCAATTACAATATTCAAAGCACTCATAGCTCTTAAAACTGAAGCATATCCTTCGTTAAATAAGCCAGTTGCCAAATATGCTGCAATTTCAATCATTTTTATTCCTGAGTGCAGCTGCTTTGGAGCGAACCGCCAAACAGTTGAGTTGAAACTCTCGTTATTGTTCTGAGTATGTCCGCCCAAGCACCTCTCAAGTAGATTCTCTTCAGATAAATCTTCGTAAATTGGTAAGATGTGCTTCTGCACGTCTGGATGTAGTGGTGCAGGATGTTCTATAAGGTCCAAATTTGCTCCTGTAGCTAGAGCTTTCTGCCACTTGCACCAGCTGTCATTTCCTACCGGGTAGTATTCGTGCCTTGGATTTTCTTCGGTGGAGCATAAGTGATAATACGAGGCCATTATAGCTTTCTTCATATTTTCCACACTATGAATATTTCTTCGTATGGCTAGCCATAGTATGCGGTGAGTTTCCTGATAAGCGCATCAGTCAGCTTGCCTTTTCCACCGAGGTTTTTTGTTTTTTTTTAATATTTCAAAGCCGGCTGTATGATAATTTTTCTCGTATAACGCAAACAATGTAAAGTAACATGTTTACAATGATTGAAACGAGGGAATTATGAAAAGCGGGTCCTCCGCTTCGAGCGCGTGGATCTATATCTGCGGTGGGCTACCGCCTATGAGTCCCGATTATGGGGTATAGCATCAGAAGGGCTCCGAATTTCGCTTTAAAACTTTGGCACCATACTTTTAAGATGTTATACTAACATCCTACAGAAAAAAAAATATTGCGATTTTTTAAGGTTCTAAAGGTATTTCCCCCCTTAAGGTTATTAGTGACCACAGTGGGAGGACACAGTAGGATAACGTTTATCTATACATACTAATACGTTCACACCAGAGCGGTAATTTACGTTTTCCTCCATTTGATGGCGAAATTCCTAAAATTTTTGCAAATATTTAAAAGGTCAATAAGTAAATTAATTGTCAACTGTATACTATTTATCAAACCCGTTTAACAAACTACATATTTAAAGGTATACACCGTCTAATGTGATATCAAAATGTGAACCACCGGTGGTACGCGTCGGTGCACAGTGCGGCCGCTCGTTAAGAAAAACCAAAAATTTAACTATTCAACGAAAATTGAAGATTACCAATCTATTGCTCAGTAGTCCCTACTATAAAAAATTATTTTTATTTAAAAAAGAATGAATAATAACTACTGTTTAATATATTTGCAGATATATAATACTGTTTAATGTATATGCAGATTTTTAATAGTAGTGAATATACTTCGAACCATATAGATCTGATTTAACATAATTTATTATAATTATAATTTATTAATTATACAAATAAATTCCGTTTCTTTATTTATATAATATTGGAATCGCAATGCAAAATATCCATTGTCATTTAAAAAACTTTATGATATGTCTGTACTGTGAAAGAAATATAACCATCATATGTTTAGCTCTATACCTTACAATTAATGTCTGAAGTACTGTTCTGTATCACTCATGTAGGAACAATCTCGGACGAGCCCCCAATATTTGTAGGAATTGTCTCGGGAGAGTCCCCAATATTGTAAGAACTATCCCGGCAGAGTCCTCAAGGTGGTGGGATATTCCCTTACAAGTCGCATGATTTTTACAGATCACCAAACGCTCGCTCGCCGATTACGCAAAGTATCGCTCACAAAGTCTCGCACTAACTCCTCTCTCCGCTATCCCGCACAAAATGTTCATCTCCGCTGTCGCGCACAAAATGTCCCCGCGCACGCATTCCCACTCGCTTTTAACACACACCCCCATTCGCTCTGTCTTTCTCACTCGCATCTTTCGTCCATATTCAAAATTCACGCAGTCACGTACACGCTTTTCTCACGGTTCAGTCGCTTGGTTCCAGACACTCTTCCTCGCATTCCTTCAGCCACTCAAGATTTTCTAAACGCAGTCACACTATTTTCCAAACATACCGGCGTCGGTCCGTTGCAATAAGATCTGGTCGCTCTTACGCAGGCACGCACAACGAACCATTCACCCCACACTCATACTTTTTAAGTTATTGAGTTTTGTCCAGAAAACGGGCGATTGGTGGTTCTATACGGCGTAAACGTGTTGAATGGTATAGACCAGGGATGTCTAAGCTTTTAGCTTCCTTGGACCTCATTGAAAGGAGACAACTTGTTATGGGCTGCACATAAATTAATAGCATGTTTAACTTGCATTTGTAATATTATTAACGAGTTTTTTAATCGCAATGTCATAAAGTCTGATATATACCACCATCTTTGAGGAATTCTAATACTTTCCTTCTAGAATCTTCTTCATGCAACATGTCGATTGAATTTGTTAGTTCATGTTGAGTTCTTTTGTTATTACTTTTAGAACACGCGATTAGAATATGTTTAACGCAGTTTTCTACACCACAAGTGTCACAGGTATTTGGTTCAGTTTGGTGATAAAATAGGGGTGCGTCCAGTTTATGTGGCATATTCTTATTCGAGTTAGTATATACTATATTCTTGATCTCTTCCATTCGACACTAAAGCCGAGTTTGTGTCACACATGTTATTTCTAATGTCATGTAGTAGTTTAGCAGATCTTGAGTTTTCTCATGGAATCTGTTATACGAACTTTCCACTACTAACATTTTGCGGCGAGTAGAAACCTTGGGAAACTTTTCCAAGGTTTTGAAAACTTTTCCCGATGGATGTTTTCGCCACGGCCACATTCAGTGACGATAATTTGACGCACGGTTTTCTGGATCTGTGGGCCTTCGTGGGTTTCGCACGTCTCAAAGATGAGATTCTCTTTATCTCTCCTTAGGGTAGCGATTTCCAAACTTAGAGGCGTGAACTAGTACAAAAGGAGGGGCGAGAAGTTATTATCCTGTCAATTACGTTTTTCCCAGTTTTTGTATCATTACATTTTTTACTATTTAAAACTGTGTCCATATTATTTTACGAAATAAAGGAAAGAAGACGCCAGGTTTATATTTTTTAAAAGGGCGTTTAGTAACATAACGTTTGGAAAACATTTTAGCGGGACGTGTATGTGTTTCGGGAACAATTTGATTCCGTTCGCACCGATCCAAACGGTAACATCGAAACGTGCTCAAAACTCAGAGTAATAAAGATCGTCAAAAAATACGATCAATGCACTATTCGCTGACGATATAGCGATAGCTGCATCATATGTAGTGTCCTGTATACAAAACCACATTACAGAATTAAATCAATACTTCGAGAAAGGGAAACTAAAAAATTAAATCTATACAATATTCAAGCATTTTCTAGGAAACACATCACAAATCCTCTACAATTACAACTTAAACAAACACGTTTTAAAACATAACTAAAGGAATTAGAACACCAGATTTGATATCTAAATAAACTTGAATTACTTTATACTTTATAAAACAATCGGCAAAGATTAAAATTACAAGTGAAAAACAGAAATTGTAGTTAAAATCGTGAATTTCAAAGTAGTACAAGTCCATTTTTTAACTATATATAAATTACTGATTTAACCGATTTTAGCTTATGGAGACCTATTTAATAATATTAAAAATGTACACGTAATGAAGATGTACATGTGTATCTAATACTGGCAGCAAGAATCAATGAAATAAATAATGAATGATCGAAGGTGAAAGGAGATGTTGATTTTCTGAAAACGTTGATTGGTTGACTTGTGCTGTTTTAATTATGATTGTATCAATTATTTATGCAAGATAATTTACTGGTCATTTCTCCCGTACGGTCATCTCCTCCGGAATTATCCTATACGACCACAAACACATTTGCAATGAAAATTTATTTCATGAAAATTTATGAAACAATTCAACATTATATATACATATAAGACGTGACCGGGGTCCAGGTCTATACAACGCGTAATCACGGCCGTGACTAATCATAACCGGCGAGCGATGGCCGTATGACGCCAAAGCTTTGTGCACGCGTTCTTGACGGTCATTTTCTTAAACGCCCGTTTCCCCTTCAGAAATATCTGCAGAATCCAATGGTCTGTAGCAAAATCGTGCTAGCTAACACATTTGTCGTGGAAATATAACAGAAGTGCATACAAAGTATGCGCATCTACCCTTTTTTAAACTTTCATCATCATTTACAAGCATTTAATGATACGCAATATTCAACATTTTTCTAGCTACATTCTCGGACATTTCTCCTCTATTTTTTACGACAAACTTGAACTGCCTATCGTTTTTAGTTTTCACGTAACACTTATTTCTTCTAAAAAATTCGTCCGTTTTCACAAAAACCCATGTTTTTCTAAAACTGGACGTGACGTAGTAATTTGGTTATCGGATTCGTATTTAGAGCAAGGAACTCTATAAAAATCACCTAGTGGCTATTACAAAACAAAAATCCTGTTGAACAGTGATATCAACCACTCGAGAGAAACGAAGAAAACAAGAATGTCGAAAACAGGTTTTCCTTGAACGACGAATTGCGGTAATCAATATTTTACTGTTCTTGTTTCTCTTTTTATTTTGTTAATAAAAAATGTTTTTGTCATTGTTGCATTCGTTCTTGCACAACATCTACCACCATTCCCAATATTATATTATTTATTCATTGTATGGTAACAGACAAAAAAAATTTTAGCCCTCTTTTTATTGAAAGTGATTGTACTCTAATGTTCATCCCTTGTTTCTTTTGGTATATAACTATGTCACTTAACGTTAGTCATTTTCTTTATATTGGAGGCGACTATAGTTATCTAACGTTGATCCTTCATTTTATGTGAAACGTGACTGTAGACACTTGGCGTTAATATATCGCTTTATATAGGATATAATTATATATATGTAGTCACGTAACGTTGATTACTCGCTTTATATAAACCTTCCGACGATCATGTCGGAGTCACATGAGGTTCACCTTATTGAATAGTGGAGAATGCGTCTAAAGTGACAGCGTTGAATCAAAAATAACTTCGGCGTAGTCGTCAGACACGCGACCGTCGGATGGTTAATACATTGTTGACCGGTCAAGAGTTAACTGATGTTTGCACTTGCATTAGCTATTTCAATTTTTGAAACGTAGGGTAATGCAGAGTATTGCAGAAGCAAAATATTTAAAGTTCTATAACAGATATTTCCAAAGTTTCATTTCAATTCATTATGTATAAATAAAATATATTGAACTTTATTTAGATTGTTTCATCCTCATATTTAATTACGGAATCATAACGGGTGACATGGGATAGCATCTGCGTAAAATTTCTGGTCAGCAATCTGTCAAGTGATTGAAAGAAAATACAAAATTTTGTAATCAAATTTTAATACCGGCCATTTGACTGGTCGTGATACGTTTAGTGTTAAAGGAGCTATAGTTACCAATTATTTAATTTTAATTTAATTTTTTTCTGAGCAATTTAAAAAATGTAATATAGTATCATAAATATTTACATATATCTGTTTATATTTCCAGATGTATTAGTCGAATATCACATAAATAACCTTACAACGATATAAAGAACGATGGTTGATTTTAATCTTTTTGTTTGAAAAAGTAAATAGTTTCGGATTTATAATCATACGAAAAGTTTTAATCAATAAAATCAACACGCGTTATTGCTGTTTCGACAACTAATTCAATCAAATCTTGCATGAACATAAATTACAAATTGTTCCATGCTTCGAAAAATATTAGCTCACAGTTTCACAAAAATATCATTGTGCAATGCAAACATTTCGTAAAGAGATGTGTAGTTACTCTCCAAATATTTTTCTGTTTCGAGATTAATTATGTTACGCGATCGAATCGCGGGGGATGTATTTTTAAGCGAAAACAGCAGCGCTCATTTCACGTTGTGGTCGGCCGTCGTCCCGTCCCTCTGTTGGATCGCCCCTTGAATAAACGAACAGGACGGGTTTTTCATATTTAACCAGGAATATCGTAGTGTACGAGCCGTAGACTGATCAGTGATCAAACATTGAACAGGCAGTTCCACAGGTCTCATTGTCGGATGTGTATGAAACACGAACAAACTGCTTATCGGTCAATAATGCAGCTTTGGATTTTGGGACGGTTTGGTTATTTATCAGCTGCGAATTGTCGTTATGTTTTACTAGTGAAATGGAAATGAAAAATTAGAAGGATTTATTCATTTTCAAAAACGTCACCTTTGTGATCTAGAACATAATGCTCTTTAATAACGGCTTGCAACAGCATTTTACACACAATGAAATTCACAATAGATTGGACAATATCGCATGTTTGCATTTTCTTTTTAACCTTTCAGATTTTTGAGTCAGGACGCAAAATTATCATTTAGATAAAAATTACTCTTTTTGATGCTTCGAGAATTTCGTCGTAGTTACATAAAAGGTTCTGTTATACCATGTAACTACTGACAATAGGATTGAAGTATTGGCCAACGAAACTAGTACAATGTCATGACTACTGCTTCTCATAAACCTTATTGTTGTCTGTAATTATTTTGATTGACTTTACTGTAATTAATATCAAAAATATGAGCGATAATTTATGGTTTATAAAGATCTATAAAAAAGAATGAGATAAACAATTCTACAGAATTTTACATTTCTACAGATTATATTTATCTTATTCATCGTCAGACCATTAATCTTGGATATACAGTTCTATCACTTTCTCTCAGTTTCATGATCATTTGCATAGAAATCCGCAATGCAGCGATAGCGAGCTTAATACTCGATTTACGACCATCAATTGCATAGTTCATTAAATTATCTTCAA